CGGTTTTTGAATGAAACTGAAAGAAAAGCACCGGCTGAATATGCTATTTCAATGCCGATACCATACCGGTGACTGTTAAAGGTAAACATAGTTGATAGGGATTCCACTTGAAAAAATCAAACGTTATACACCTACACGTGTCAAACGGATTCGTGTTTGCTTATGTCGTACTTAAGGTACGTCTCCAGTACAATAAAGTTGCTTCGCATATAGCATATCACAACTTACGCCGTGGATCACTTTGCAACATGTGCCCGGCATTTTTGTACGGACGAAGTGTTACAGATATTCAAGGATCTCTACCGCTCTGTAAATTAAGAGTGTGATTTTTTTATTCAAATATAATTACAATTTTGTATTGTTACCCTTAAAATAACATCCTTCTGAAGCTACACAGCGCTGGAGACGGTTCTTCCACTCCTCGTAGCAGCGTTGAAACTCCAAACTCCAGCTGGTCGGTTATAGCAGTTTGAACGTTATCGACCATCCCAAAATGAGTTCCGTTGAATGATTTTTCAACTTCGAGAAGAGAAAAAAGTCAGAAGGACTCAAGTCAGGCGAATAAGGAGGCTGAGGAGAGACAGGAATGTTTTTACTGGCCCAAAGCTCGTTTATTGACAGTTCTATGTAGCAAGGAGCATTATCGTAATGCAACACGGAGTTGTTCTTGATTTGATGATTGGTGGCGTGAGTCAAATTTACCTTTTCGTTAACCGAAGATCTAAACGCACAAGATCCCAGATTCTGTCGATATTTTCATCGGTTCTTGAAGATCAAGGCCTTCCGCTTTGTGGTTCATCTTCAATCGACTCTCTCCTGAAAATGCATTAAACCACCGAAAACCTGGGCTCTTGATAAAACACTCTCTCCGTAGAATTTTCCCAAAATCGTTATTTTTTCCTGGCTTTATTTGAGATGGGATTTTAAAATAAAAGAACATTTTGGCACTTTTTTCCACTACAAAATGCAATCGCCTCTTGTCCTCATTTATCAACTTTATTTTATCTTACAGACGCCATATTGGACTTTTGAATAGAATATTCTATTCTGATTCCCAAAAATCAGTTTTTTTACACCGAAACAGCCGCGCAGGCAGATGCCTAAATGCCAGGGTACCGCGGCCAAAGAAAAGCCTCCTCTTGTTGATTATTCGAGAATCCCGACACCATAGCGGAGGAGCGGTCCTATCGGGCAGTTCTGGATGTACGAAGTTCGACACGGTTAGGATGGGAGGCGGAAGTGACGCGGGTCTGTCTGGTAGGCACGTATCGCGCAGGCATCATGGAGGAGAGTTCTGAGGAGCAAAGCCCATTGGCTTACCCATTTATCGGCTATAACAAACGTTATTTTAGCACTCTGGAGTCGCTCTACACGGCACCTCAGATTGTTTATGAAATGTGCTTAGGAAGCTGTAAAATCGTATGAATAAGGCCCGATTCACAAAATAACCATCCCCAATTGCATAATTATATCCATTAGACATGGGTATGCTTCCGCAATGATCGTGACGAGTCTATGATTGAATGATGTTTCTCTGTTCTCTTTTTTATTATTTCTGTCTCAGTGAGTGCGTGAGTGTATGTGATTTAAATCTGTCTACACACTTTACACACTATTATGTTGTACTCGTTACTTCTCAGTACTATATGTCCTGATCATTTTTTTTGTATCTGTGATTTTTTTATGTTTGTTATTCTTATGTAGCCCTGGTTAGTACCAAAAGCAGCTATTAGCTGATATACCCGCCAGGTAAAATAAAGGCATATTATTATTATTATAATTGAAAGGGTCCTCAACAGAATAGGACATCTCAGCTTAACCTAGTGGTTACCATGGGAAGAAGACTTATTGGATCAGGGTTATGTAATCAAGACGACGATCTCACTCGCTCATCTAAACTGTTGCTCAAAAAATAATTAGAGCATAATTGCAAACAATGTGTTTCTCTCTCTTTGTCTCCAATCTAAATCCGATCAAATTTCTTTGGAATGAAGTTGATCGGGCCCTCAAAAAACAATTCACAAAATGTGCTCCGAAATAACGCGAAAAAAGCGTCGGTGCAGCTTGAAAGATCTATTCTTGAAGAATAGAATAGAATTTAGAACACCACGAAGGATTGAGTGTGAAAAAAGGATGTGCAAATATACCTTGCGTTACAATGCGTCTACAATACTAGGTATATATTAGACTAGGGGGTAAAATAAACAAAAATGGTTTCATATCTAATTTGTTCCTTATATGATCCAGCTTGTATCTTTTACTTCCCGCGCTTATTGGCTTGTAATCACGAAAAACCATGTCACTCATATCCGTCGGTCTGTCTGTCGGTTTGTGTGTCGGTCTGTCTGTCGGTCTGCCTGATGGCCTGTCTTTTGGCCTGTCTTTCTGTCTGTCCGCTAATCCTTGACATGTCTATAACTTGGAAAGTACCGCTTGGATTTAGATGAAGTTTCCAGACAGGATTAGTACTATCCCAAGGACGAAGAAGCTTTGTAGTTTTTGTAAATCGGTCCAATGACGGCGGAGAAAAAGACCTAGAACGAAGAAATGATAATAACCGTGCAAACTTCGTATTTTTACGTTTCAGAGGCTCCTGTTCATTTTCGAAAAAAAAATTGTAGGGGATAAAAATTGGGGATTAGGGATTGGGCCGTGTGCATCTCAATTTTTTACGTTGGTATATTTATACGCCTCCAACCCCAGTAATTCTACGCACCTAGTAGGCATATTTCACTCATCATAGATCATCATCATTTATACGTAAAACTTGGAAATATCTCCAACAATCGCATATCGGTTCGTGTGACGTGGTCCGGCTGATGGTCGTGAGTTGCAGTCGGCAGTCGCTTCCGTGCTGCTGTGGGCTGTATGCTATAATACATCGCCATCCGCGCGGGATTTTTTATAGCAACGATCATGTGCGCCCGCAGGAATTTCTCTAAGGGGAGGAGCAGGGTCATTTAATTTCTTGTTATACATTTTCGTAGCTATCTTTTTTCTCAGGAGGGCTAATATGACGAAGATAATTGTTTACGAACGATGACAGTGTAGTACAGAGTCGACTTGATGGCATTTTTTCGTTTTCAATTAGAAATTTTTGAACAGTAGTGTACCAGACATTTTGACAGTCTTCAACCTGCTGCGGCACATGTGCCCAGTCAGGTGCATGTTACGCAACATTCACCGCGTACATGTGCCTGCAACTCTTTGTAATGGAAACCTACCTTTAGTAGTTATCACTCAGTGATTAGGCATTTTTGTTGTGATTTCGTTATATTATGCAAGATGATGCCTTGTATTTTTAATTGATAACACACTAAGTTACATACATACGTAACGTGCAGTTTTATTTGTAATTGGCTTCGAAATGGGATACAATATACAGATTTGATCTTTAAAATTGCACCGTTCCGGAATGATAGTCGTTATGTTAGAGTTAAAACCGGTCTTAGTAACAACGCGTTTTCTCTAGTTGAAAATAGCTTCAACTGAATGTCGTTGTTACAACTAGAACTGAGAAACAAAGTGTTTTGTCAAGGTGGTTCACTTAAAACTGTTTTATCCGACGCTAAAAGTCATATCCTCTGATTAGTTGGTGTGCTGATTTGTTCTTTCTTTATCGTAATTATTTGAAATTAATATTGTCACTATGGCATTACTGTTGAATTTTAATATCCCTTAATGTTCCCTTGGGTTATTATTGTTATTTTTGATTAATAAATATTGAACCAAATAAAAAAAATACGCCGATGTATTGATTTGTCACCTTGTTAGACAATGGTAGGCAAATGAGCTATACACCAAAACTACCCAATTTTTTCGATAAACAGTGCAATGTAAACATATAATGTATTTTTCATGAGTATCGAATACGTTTTGTCGTCTACTGAGGTGAACAGTTGATCACAAAATCGACATCTTTCTATTACCTATGTAACGTTGGCAATAATATACATCAGGACCGTATTCAGAGCGGTTGTTCACATATCTGGATTATACTTTTAAATGATTGGGAATTGTGACAATAAAATGTACGAAATGCAGATAAAAAATGTTTATTAGAAAATTATTATAATAGATCTGGGATTTATTGATTACAAGGTAAGTCAAGGCAAGCTGCGTTGTCCTGTACAATAGTTGGAATTTTAGCTGTAAAAATATACGGAGTGACAAAAAAAAGTAAACACCTACGTATGTTTATCCGATTTTAATAACTCTTGGCATATATATTCAGTGTCCTTTACTAGTAAAATGATTAAATTTTCAGCTTGATTCGTCAACTGACTGCAGAAGCTGGTTCAATAATGTTACATTTTTGTAATATCTAACTTGTAAGAATTAACTGAGTAATGTTCAGGCCTAGTTTAGGGAATCGAACCTCTATCAATGCGGTCATATACTGCCGCACATTCTGAATTAATTGTGTAGCTATTTCATTGCCCTTTAAAATCATATGGTGTGTTTCATGTTATACATAGTCAAAAATTGTTTATCTTATTTTATTCCTGTCTTGAAATGTAGTTATGATCATTAGCAGCCATTTGGCTTGTCGCGTTTTCTGCGAAGGGACTTTTCTAAATAAATTAATCTGTAGCCTACAAAGAACCACAACAAAAGATCTAGATCTGTCTACCTGGCGTTGGCGGATCCCACAGAATTATGTGCCACTTGTCAATATGGGGAGTTCTGATATCTCACTAGATAATCAGCTGTTATTCTACTGTAATGGATACTCGTGAAACATACCGTAAGCTGGCTTCTTCTAACCTATTCGTTAAACGTGACACGTCACTTCATTTCGCGTCTTTCCTGTGTGCGGGCTATCATTAATTATGTATAGTATGACGTAACACAGCCGAAGAGTTTCGAAGCTTTTCTCTTCGCTTCTATTCCCCTTATTAAACGAGTACCTGCAAGAATCGGGGTGCTTAGACTCTGGTTCAATTTTAGTACTTTTTGTCTTGAGTTGTTGAATACAGCAATTTTACTCTTTGCTTCAGGTTTTTGTGTAAAGGCCAGAGAAGTGGCAGGACAAAAAGTATTTGTGAATATCTGCAAAACAGAAGCTATACCGCCACCAAAAGAAATATCTGTAAAAGAATTGCACGAAATCATAACATCGGAGTGTCCTGGAGATTATAGAGTAGGAATATCATACCGTAGGAGAATAGTATGAAAATATCTCGGCCCGACGTAGAAAGAGCTCTCCAATCAATGAATATTCATACTCGTAACACCTGCATAGGTGCACATGGCTTTGTTCGTATGACAAGTTTCAACTTGTTTTCAAGTAGCTTGTCTTCACGAAGTTTTGTAGGGCACGTCTTGCAAGGGCTGTGCTATCGAACGCCTCGTGTCGGGTGGTTTAGCTTTAGCCCATAAGGAAATTGTTCCAGGGTTAACAAAAGCCTAGGTAAAAGACAGTAAAATGTAAATGAGAAAATTGAGTTAAAAGTTGTGGATCTTATCGAACTAAATAAATAGTATTATTATGACAGTACAGAAGTGAATGAATATTGCATAGTTACATAACTTTGTAGAGTCATTTAAATGTAATTTCGGATCATAATTGTTGTTTAGGCCTAAAATGAATTCATTCATTCTGTCCTTAACTATTATTGTAAATCATAATGCAGTAACATGTAATTTACTGCTTTTGTACTTTGAAAATACAAATTTACTGCCTTGTTTCAAAAGGAAAAACGCAGTATTGCAGAATTGGATTTTATTTTCATATAATTTGTTCATATTAAAATCCACATAAATAGCACAAAACTAAACCTGTTCAACATGAATTTAACAATTATATGATTACATTAAATATACTAAGTGACATATAAATCCGAACACGCAGTTTAAATGGTTTTATTTTAATAAAAGTTGGTGAATGTATTTATCTTACTGTAAATAACAAGTGAAAAAATTTTCAGCCTTATCAGTTGGACATTCTGGTTTTTATACTGCTTTTTTTTAATTCACTAACGCTCTAAAAATGAATATTTCAGCCGCAGTAAAGAATCAACGTTGGCGGATTTTGGTTCTTGACATCCTTTACGATCGGTTACGATGCCTAGAGTACGGAGACCTGTACGATTTCGTCAACTTAGTGAGTTTGATAGGGGCCGTATAGTGGGACTTCGGGAAGCTGGACTTTCTTTTCGGGCAATTGCAGTTAGAGTGCAAAGAAGTGTAGACACTGTGGTTAGGTGTTGTCAGGCATGGCTTCGAGAAGGCCGTACGCAAAGAGCAAGGGGCACTGGACGCCGCCGTAGAACAACAGACCGTGAAGATCGCCGCCTAAGATTATTGGCCTTAAGGGACCGTTTCTCCACTACCAGGTCCATTGCAAATGAATGGTTTGCAGAACACGGAAGACCTATTGGCATGCGAAGTGTTTACCGACGAATGAGAAGTTTTGGCTTGTTTTCATACCGGCCACACTGGGTCCTCCCTTTAACTCGAGAACACCGACGTAATCGCCTTGTGTGGTGCAGACAACGGTCACTCTGGGATCAGGAATGGAACAGTATTGTCTTTAGTGACGAGTCTCGATTTTGTTTAGGCATGCACGATGGTCGTGCCAGGGTTAGAAGGCGACGTGGTGAAAGGAGGAATCCACAGTTTTTTGTTGAAAGACATGTTCATCACACTGTTGGAGTTATGGTTTGGGGTGCTATAGCTTATGGTTCCAGGTCACCTTTAATCTTCATCAGAGGTAACATGAACGCGCAGCGTTATATCCACGAAGTTCTAGTACCCCATCTTTTACCCTATCTTGACACCCTGGCAGATCCAACTTTCCAACAAGATAATGCCCGACCACATGTTGCAAGAGTCACAATAGACTTCTTTCAACATAATGATGTCACATTGTTACCATGGCCACCAAAATCTCCCGACTTATCCCCAATTGAGCACGTGTGGGATATGATGGGTAGGAGATTGCTCAATTTGCAACGTCGTCCTCAGACTCTAGAAGCACTTCGAGAGGAGTTGGTGGTTGCCTGGAATGAGATACCACAGGAGGACATTGACCACCTGATCAGAAGCATGCCTAGGCGCGTTGGAGAATGCGTAGCACATCAGGGTGCATCCACACATTATTAAAGGTCAAAGGGCTTTAAAGCAGTGCAATCATTTTGAAATTTTTATCATGTACTTATTATGCTTCTTTAAGTACTTATACAAAATTTTATTAAAATAAAACCAATTAAACTGGGTGTTCGGATTTATATGTCACTTAGTATAATTACACTTAACAAAAATAATTATATAAATAATCTTGAAACACCATGTTTACTTATATGGGAAGTTTATAACGATAAATACTTATACCCAATAGAATTGTTACATAAAAAAATAAATAACTAATTACCATATCGTCAATCGTTCCTACAATTATTGCAGATCGCCTTTATGACCTCCTTGATTTTGATAGTCTTTTCTCTCCTTCAAAAAGACTAGGGTATTTCCAGATTTATACGGTTCCGGGTCAGCGTCAGCGCTCTTTTATTGTTTTCTTTTTGAAGTGAAGTAACATAGGAAGAAAATTAATTTTCTGTCAAAACAACGCATCTTCTCACAAATGAGGGTTTGCAATGGGAAAACTGTGGGATTTGGGGAATGATTTGCTTAACCACCACTCCTATTCTCCTGTTCTCATGATTTAGTACGTTCAAACTTCCGTCTGTTCCCAAAAAATTCTTTTTGGAAAGCGCTACGGTTGCCGCCCCACTTTTGGCTCTAGGGCAAATACCTCTATGGCTGAGTTGGCCGTAGATGAACATATTGACAGACTTCCAGATGGCCACTTTCAAGTAGGAGTCCTAATGATGAGAAACATTGAACTATACTAAGTGACATATAAATCCGAACACCCAGTTTAAATGGTTTTATTTTAATAAAATTTTGTATAAGTACTTAATGAAGCATAATAAGTAAATGATAAAAATTTCAAAATGATTGCACTGCTTTAAAGCCCTTTGACCTTTAATAATGTGTGGATGCACCCTGATGTGCTACGCATTCTCCAACGCGCCTAGGCATGCTTCTGATCACGTGGTCAATGTCCTCCTGTGGTATCTCATTCCAGGCAACCACCAACTCCTCTCGAAGTGCTTCTAGAGTCTGAGGAGGACGTTGCAAATTGAACAAATCTCCTACCCATCATATCCTACACGTGCTCAATTGGGGATAAGTCGGGAGATCTTGGTGGCCATGGTAACAATGTGAGATCATTATGTTGAAAGAAGTCTATTGTGACTCTTGCAACATGTGGTCGGGCATTATCTTGTTGGAAAGTTGGATCTGCCAGGGTGTCAAGATAGGGTAAAAGATGGGGTTCTAGAACTTCGTGGATATAACGCTGCGCGTTCATGTTACCTCTGATGAAGATTAAAGGTGACCTGGAACCATGAGCTATAGCACCCCAAACCATAACTCCAACAGTGTGATGAACAAGTCTTTCAACAAAAAAACGGTGGATTCCTCCTTTCACCACTTCTTTCAACATAATGATGTCACATAGTTACCATGGCCACCAAGATCTCCCGACTTATCCCCAATTGAGCACATGTGGGATATGATGGGTAGGAGATTGCTCAATTTGCAACGTCCTCCTCAGACTCTAGAAGCACTTCGAGAGGAGTTGGTGGTTGCCTGGAATGAGATACCACAGGAGGTCATTGACCACCTGATCAGAAGCATGCCTAGGCGCGTTGGAGAATGCGTAGCACATCAGGGTGCATCCACACATTATTAAAGATCAAAGGGCTTTAAAGCAGTGCAATCATTTTGAAATTTTTATCATTTACTTATTATGCTTCATTAAGTACTTATACACAATTTTATTAAAATAAAACCATTTAAACTGGGTGTTCGGATTTATGTGTCACTTAGTATATGAGTGTTAGAGTCAAATGGGATTATGCAAAAAAGTAAAATAATGCTTTAACTGAAAGTTGGAGTCTTTCATTGTCGGCCCGAGATTTTTTCACTTACCGTCGTAATATCTAATTAACCTCTCTACACAGGGTGCTCAAGATAAGCATCCTATGCATGGGGATGTCAATACCTGGGTGAGACACAGCTTAGGTTAGATTAGGAAAAAGTTGCATTCCTTGGAGTATATTTACATGCCGAAAAACTAAAATTTGGCTAAATCATTTTAATTTTTTTTTGAATTTATTTAAAAAAACGGCAGCATTTTCCATTGCACTTTTTATGCACTACATGATGGTGTTTTTAAATTTTGTGCCCGATGGTCCTAAAAACGTACAGAATTTCTTATACAAATTCATCGATGTATCACATGTTACATTTAGTTTCTTGGTTGTGTGAAAAAAGGCAAGTAGTTGCAAACAAATGCTTGACTTGACGTGAATACCTGTCACCGAGTATTGTTATTATAGTGTATTGTTAATATTTTTTATCATCAAAGATGCCAGGCGGTCATTTTAGCAATGAAAAAAAGATGAAAGACGGCAGCCAAGTAAGTCCGTTTTCTTAAAGTTGGCTCGAAATTTAAATGAATATGGTTCCTTCAAAAAGCCTAATATATCTCGAAAAAAGGAATCAGAGGAAACTCAAAATAGAGTATATTTCTCAGCGATTTCCCGGAAGGTGAATTAGAACCTCCAGCAAAGTGTCCTGTCTAGGGCGTTCCCCGGAGTTAACTGCTCTGGACTTTTTTGTTTGGGGTTTTATTAAAAACCAAGTTTATCAGCATACTTTTGAAACTAAATAGCAATTAACAGAATGTGTGATGGAAGCATTTACTATGATTACACCTGAAATGTTACGTGATTTTTTTAATTCTACTGATAGATCAAATTTATGTTTAGAAAATAGTGGCAACCTATTTGAACACGTATTGTGAAAAAAATAAAAATTTTAAAAATGTATTCGTTATTCTGAATATTACTAGTAGTACTCTAATCATATTAGACGAAAATACCGCTGGTTTGCAAAATAATTGTAAAGTCTGGTTTTATTTCTGCAAGTTGTTCAAGGGGGTATTCAAAACATGGACGCATAAAATGAGTACACCAATTATTGTGGGATAACTTGTTATTCGAAAACAAAGAATGTGAAAACGTGTTTTTTGGGATTCAATGGAAAGTGTTGGCAGGAACGAAAAAACTCTTCGTATAAGATTTTTAAGTATTTATAAGACCAACAAAATGAGACTACACTTAAAAAGATTCGACTAATAGCAAAAAAGTTATGGCCGAAAACCTAGGCAAAAACACAACAAAATTGCAGTAGATTGGTCAAGTAGTTTTTGAAAATTTCCAGTAGCTTATCCAAAAACACCTATTTTCCGACCATCACTACTAGTTTATTGAGCAATATACAGTTCAATATAGTTCAAATTACATTTTATAGCAAAATACGCTAGTTTAAATGTTATTGTTATGCAAAAAAGGATGGGTTACGTTTTTTCTTCTAAACAAATTCAAACATTTCGTATTTGTGAGTAATTCGCAACAATAGATGATAGAAACATCCGCTTTGTTTTAAAATCTGTATAATCACGTATATTTTTTGAATATCGTAGCGCATTTGTTCAATTACTCACAAATACGAAATGTTTGAATTTGTTTAGAAGAAAAAACACGTATTCCTTTTTTGCATGAAACTAACATTTATCTTTCGGAATGGTTTGTGATTCATATCGGCAAGGTAAACACGTGTATTTTTCTATTAAATGCTCTTTGAACGAACCCTGTATATTGCTCAATAAACTAGTAGTGATGGCCGGAAAACAGGTATTTTGAGATAAACAATTAGAACTACTAAAAAAACTACTTGACCAATATAATCCAATTTTTTTTTGTTGTTATTTAGAAGTATGAATCTTACGGGTTTGAAGAATTTCAAATAGTTGCGTGAAATTACCGTCGCATTACCAAGTGCCAAAACCTGCATTTTGCCTCGTTTATCGGCCATAACATTTTTACCTAAAAATCTTGTCTGAAAAGTTTTTTCGTTCCTGTCAATACTTTCCAGTAAATCCCAAAAACACGTTTTCTCATTTTTCTCATTCTTTGTTGTCAAATAAACAGTTTTGCCACAAAAAGTGGTGTACCCATTTTATGCGTCCATGTTTTGAATACCCCCTTGAACAACTTGCACTAGAAAAACAAGACTTTACAATTATTTCGGAGAAATTTGCTAAGATGATTAGACTATAGATTAAGCATAGTTTTATAAAATTTTACCCCATCACACAATCTTACATCAAGCATTTGGTTGCAACGCCTACTTGAATAAAATAAAAAAAAAATAAAAAATGCATTTTCCTTTATAACTAAGAAAACAAATGCATGTGATACATCGTTGAATTCATAGAAAAAGATGCTATCAGGTTTTTAGACCATATAAAAAATGCAAGTGGATGATGGTTTCTCGAAAACGTAATGTCGGGCACAAAACTTAAAGACATCATGTAGTGGCTAAAAAGTGCTATTGAAAAATGTCCATTAGTTTTTTTGGTATTCCTTAAAATAAAGTCAGAAAAAAATAAAAACGATTTGGCTAAATTTTAGTTTTCCCGAATATCGAGCTATGAAATGTTCACAAGTTGTTCAACGGCATGTAAATATGCTGCAAAGAACGCAGCTTTTCCCAATTTAACGTAAGCTGTATCTCCCACAGGTGTGTGTGTGTGTGTGTTACACCACTTGAGCATCGTAGGGAATATAAATTGCAACATTGGCTGACTCGGTGTGTGATTAGCGCCACGCTCTATCATGTATGACAAATTGCTGAATTAACAGCACTGAGCTATGTTTGCCATTTGCACCAATTTACCTTTTCTACGATTCTCGAGTCGTATAGTATTTGTAGTAGCACACTGTATATCATTCTTATAGGTACCAATGAGTATTGGAGACGTAAAATCAGAAAAGGATAACAAAGGACAACAAGTCAAAGTTATTGATGTCGCGATACATCCAAGCTTCTTTCATAAAGTCGATACAATTGAGGAGTTCAAGAGCTTCTTTATAGCTGTGGTATTTTCTGGGTAAGACAATTTTGCCGAAGTAAATAATTTTTAACAGTTTCACTCACTTAGGCTAGAAGATAAATACAAGATAATTTTTGAAGATGAGAAAATACTTTTACGAAACAAAAGGGCATTTGGAAAACTACAGCAACATAGGATTCAACAAAGAGAGGTTGCTCAAAAAATGCAAGAAGCCCCAGGACAAAAGTCACTTATTAGTGAACTGACAGGGGAAACACCGACAAAGTCTAAGGTTATTGATTGTTGTGTGGAATGTTTACTCGAGAAACCAAAGCATTTAGTAAATTTATATTTTTAGGTGATGATAGAGACGATATCGAGTACAGAAACTCCAAGAAGAGAACCAATGTATAGGTTGTTCAAAAAGAAAGTCGGTCAAAACTGTCTTTATGGAGAATTTAAGTTACCTGATGTGGTTAGTATAATTATTAGAAAGTATTATTTTGAAGTTGATCCTTTGGAGGTTTTCGAAAGCCTGGATGCTTCATCATTTTTTAAGAAACATTCGGAGATCAATGGATCGCCTCGATTATGTCTTGCTCAAACTCCGGTCTGAAATCTCATCGATTACTCCTTACAGGTCATCTAACGTCATAAGTAACATGACATAAAAATTATAAATCGTTTTCCTGTATATTTTACAGATTTCTGCAAACGAAGTAACCTTGGACGTCGGTGAAGATAGAATTATTTTGGAGTCAAAAGCTAGAGGCTACCTCTTAGATATTTTTATTCCTTACATAGTTAAACAAAAGGGTTGCACTTCGACGTTTGATAGGGCTAGAAAGGTAGGATTTCTGTTAGTTCAAATTATTTTTAATGCTTTCGAGTATTTTTATTTTTCAGACATTGACACTGGTAATGCCACTTGTTGGGGGATAAAAGCTTTCTTGGAACGTTTCGTCGCGGTTCGATATAAAGTATAAGTTAATATTACGAAAACATGTATGCACTGTTATAATATATATATATATATAATAATAAAAGAGTGAAATGCTTTAATTAGTTTATTTTTAAGGTCGCACTAACCCCATCGTAGGCCATGGGACGTAAAACTAAATGAGGCCTCCATTTGTTAAGAAATTGATCATTCTATAATGGTTAAAAAATTAATGACACAAATAGGTGAAAAAATCTTTTATTTATATTGTATTTTATTCTTATAATTATTATAGTAAGTGTGAAGTGATCAACGCGAAGAGAATAAGTGAAATGCTCCTAAATGCACTAAAAGGTTAACAATTGATGACTTTTAAAAAATCTTCCGCCCTCAACAATAACAACACAAAACGTTATGTTCCAATAAAATAATAGTTTCTTTAACAGAAAAATGCAGGTATTCGTATATTTATACATCTTTAAATATCAGGCAGATTTTGATTATTTAGGAGAGAATTCTATGAATGTTTTCGCGCCTAAATTTTGCTAAATCTTTCTATTTTTTTTTTGGAAAGTGTTTTTTCAACGGAAGTCTTTGCTGCAAAAAGGTGTTAAATCAGATTTTATAGTTTGGAGATAATTGGGCTCAAAGTTTAAATCCTGACATTTTTTATTGAATAGTGTTAGGGCTGCTTTTATTATTTTAGACACATAAAGTATCTCAAATAGACAGTCATGTTGAGAAAATTGTGTTTATTATCAGAATTTGAAGTTATGTGTGCTTTGCAATTTTAAAAAACTTATTTTTACATTTTAAACGATCACTAGATTCATTTTTTTATATAAGCTTACAAGCTAATAAACTACTAAAACTTCACATACCTTATCCATCTAAAAAAGCAGTCCAAATGTTGTAATAAAAATCAGAAAAACAAAACTTTTCACGAATCGTGTTCAAACGTGAACAAATTGAAATTTGAGTGGAAAAAGGTGTTAACAACAAGGAGTTAACACCTTTTTACCCATAATGTAAGAGTTAATACTTTTCAAAGTTTACAGATTGAAGTTTTTGATATCGTCAACTGAATCTAAGAACTGAGAGCCATCTTATATATATATAAAGAGAATATGATCATGCGGAGAAAAGTATATAACAACAAGTAGGAAAATAATGGGCAAAATCCGCAAAAAGGAGGAAAGTGGATTCGAGCAGAAAATAGGATAGGTAACTTGAGCGATACGTATTTCTGCTGGTTGGCTTCATCAGACCCGAAATGAATGCACATATGAAACTACAAAAGTAGATACACATGCCCACACATCCGGATACGGGTGTAACCTGAGGAAACGAAGTTGGAGGGAAAAAAAACGACACACGAAGTCCACAACAAGAGCCAACCTACACATTGTAGTATAAAATGGCTATACGACCTCGAATGTGGACTTCGTGTGTCGTTTTCTTTCCCTCCAACTTCGTTTCCTCAGGTTACACCCGTATCCGGATGTGTGGGCATGTGTCAAGCCAACCAGCAGAAATACGTATCACTCGGGTTACCTTTCCTATTTTCTGCTCGAATCTACTTTCCTCCTTTTTGCGGATTTTGCCCATTATTTTCCTACTTATATACTTTTCTCCGCATGATCATATTCTCTTTGTAGATCCTTTGGGCTTGAAGTACCACAGCAAGTGGCTATAACCGGCCGCGTGGTGGTGGTTAGACGTATCCTTGAAAATTCGAGGTCGTATAGCAATTTTATACTACAATGTGTAGGTTGGCTCTTGTTGTGGACTTCGTGTGTGGTTTTTTTCCCTCCAACTTCGTTTCCTCAGGTTACACCCGTATCCGGATGTGTGGGCATGTGTATCTACTTTTGTAGTTTCATATGTGCATTCATTTCGGGCCTGATGAACCCAACCAGCAGAAATACGTATCGCTCGGGTTACCTATCCTATTTTCTGATCCAATCCACTTTCCTCCTTTTTGCGGATTTTGCCCATTATTTTTATATATATATATATTTACATATATAATTTTTAAAGGCTTAAGCTTAGAATGGTTTAGAGAACTTCTCTCGCATTACAACTGACATGCAAATAGTCAAAAAGTATTGTAGTGTCAGTGATTTTATCGAAAAACTTCTTTGGCGGAGCATCTAGAAACAGCTTCCATACTTGAATCCGTTGCACGAAGATGCCTATGATATCTTTGTTTTATGTATCACCTGCTCTTCATTAAATGCATCATAGATTTCCAGCAGTTAGCTATTGCTACATCCAAAGCATCATCGGAAGCTTCAAGCATAAACTTTATCCCAACGATTTGGAAGGTTTTGTTAATTTCCTTGAAGGCCGTGTTTCGTTGGAAAAGGTGCACAAATCGGACTAAGCATTCAAACATGCAAGTTCGATTCGGATTGTCTCAAACGGCCACACGAGATGCGTACATAGTGATTTCAAATAAATAAAACTATTTCTTTGTGACGTAGCTATTGTAATACACAAAAAAATCTAGAAATTGAACATGTTTCTACCTTATTCTATCAAGCAATTATAAAAAAAAAAATATTACATTAACGAAACGACCAGTTCGCACTATACTGCTTTTAGAATTTTCGCCTACCAGCCATAGGCCATTCAACATGGTAGAATTTCATGAAGGGGAATCTAGACCAATGCGTGCCGATGACGCCACAGAGATTGTCGAACAGTCACCATTGAAGACACCACCGTCCTCGTGGGTTCATTTTCATTGTGTCATCTGTGCAAATCGTAAACGAAAATCCAAACGGTACACTGAAAATAGGATTGCAAATGGTGACCGCCTCAGCAATTCGATTGCTTTGGACGCTCTACCAAAAACTAATTCATCAAGTGCTCACTGCTTGATGCGGACCTATGGACGCATACCTTTATCAAAACTCAATAATTTATTGATCTTATGTTTTCCTGGATTGTATTAAAACAATTAAATAAGTGCTTATAATATTGACCAAACCTAGCATAGTAGTTCGGTTGATACGAAATAGCCCTAAAACCGTAAACACAGGCGCGTACTCCTTACATATCTCCATAAATGCAGATACTTCTTTTCTCTTAGGCGACTTCCAAGGGAGTTTCTCAAATAGTGTCAAACTGATAAAAATGCTCCGTTCTGCCTCTTCTAACACTGAATCGTAGCAAAAAATGATGGTGATACTAGTTAACTGAAAAACATTTAGACTTTAGTATAACCAGCGGAAAAAGTTTTGACAATTTGCGTGATAATAAAATTAAGCGTGAGTTTTTAGTGCGGACTAGTTAATTAAAAAAATTGTAGCTCCTTATTACTAGGAAAATATTTCTATTTCTACATATTGTTTTTTTAATAAAAATGCCTACATTTTATAGCATTTTACAGGATGTGATTTGATATACTATTTAGTTTTCTTTCGAATTGTTTAGATATTGAACAATCTATCGAAAGAAATAATCAACTTTGACAACTTGCCCTTTAACAACGGTTATAACTATAGTACTAAATTTTTCGTTAGATAGTTCATACAGCAGTGGCGGTCAAAAACGCAAAATGAACGAGGTCCTCCCAGAATGGTATTTGTGTATATTTTCATACCTTTTGATTTCCATTTTCCAAGGCCAAATGGAAATTGTTACAATACCTTTCAAAATAAAAAATAATTCAAGGTGTCCCAATTTTACAAACCCCCATGAACCTAAATAAAGTTTATTAGATGGGAAATCGGAAACTGTGAAAATATACAAGGTTGCCGTTTAAAAGTTTTGAGAAATTTTTTAATGAATATAATTCAGTACTCTAAACTCATCTGTGAATCGTCAAACTGATAGTAGGTAATATGCTGTCACATTAGAAGTGTTACACCCAGAAAGAATAATTTCTTCAACTTGTTTTTTAGCAACATAGTGACTATATTTAAACCATACTGTGGCATCAATGTGAATGTTTTATCTTTGTTTTTGCTGACTTTTGTTAAAATGTTATCTCTTAGTTTTTGTGAAGAAAGCAGTTTTCAGAAACGTCCAAATTATCACCAGGTTAGCGACTTTGACAGGGGTAGAATTATTGCCTATCGAGATGTTGGTTTGTCCTATTGCAAAATTGGCCGCCGTGTTAATTGTACTGCAATGACGGTAATGCATGTGTGTTGTGTGTGGATACAAGAAGATAGAGGAATACGAAGAAGGCCAACTGGTCCAGCGAGGCGTATCAAAGAGCCTCAAGATAGGCGCTTCAGACAACTGGCCCTACGAGACCGTTTTGCTACTACGCGTTAGATCGCTGACCAATGGTTTGGAGAAGAAGGTAGACTGTTACTATGCGTATACTCTATCGCCGCATTCGAGCCTTTCGACTTTTTTCATACCGTCGACGGTTATTGCTTCCTCTGACTGCGGACCACTGTCGGCAACGTTTGAACTGGCGCAGAGAACGGCAACATTGGGAGGCAGGATGACATAACGTCATCTTCAGCGACGAATCGCGATTCTATCTAGGTACGCACGATAGTCGTAGAAGGGTTAGACGCTGTCGTGGAGAACGGCGTGATATTGTATTTGCTGTTGAGATGCATGTACACAGGACTGTTGGAGTAATGGTTTGAGGGGCTATTGCCTATGGTAGCCGACCATCCCTTCCATTTGCTCAAGGCAATATGGCTGTTGCGCGTTATGTTGATGATGTCCTACTAACCACTTTACTGTCGTATGTAGAGGGCCGTAAACTTGTCCTTTTTCAGCAAGACAACGCACGTCTCCATATTGCTCGTCGTACTACGGAATTTCTTCAAAAAGCAGACGTATTATTTTTTCTGGGTATGGCACTTCTTATGTCACTGAATATATCAAATTGCTTCGTTTGAATGGGGCTATCCAAGTCTGCTATAAAGTATAGGAGTTATGAGTCGCTCTGCAGAGATAAAAATATTTTCCAAGTGATACTAAGCATACCGTTAGCTACAATGTCTGCCAAAAACTGAACCTGTATATAAAAGAGCACGACGGCTAACTGCTTGGCTGACATATCAATGCAGAGCTGAAATTGCTGAATGTAGAAACTTTGTTGAGAGCAAAGCATAAATAAATACTAAAAGATTATCTACTTACAACGTTAACAGGCATGACAGTAACATGTACGAGAAAGGGAGTATCACTGAAAATGACCAAACTCAACCATCCAAGAGCTGAGAATATGATGGAACCCATAACTATAGTACTAAATTTTTCGTTAGATAGTTCATACAGCAGGGCGGTCAAAAACGCAAAATGAACGAGGTCCTCCCAGAATGGTATTTGTGTATATTTTCATACCTTTTGATTTCCATTTTCCAAGGCCAAATGGACATTGTTACAATACCTTTCAAAATAAAAAATAATTCAAGGTGTCCCAATTTTACAAACCCCCATGAACCTAAATAAAGTTTATTATATGGGAAATCGGAAACTGTGAAAATATACAGGGTTGCCGTTTAAAAGTTTTGATAAATTTTTTAATGAATATAATTCAGTACTCTAAACTCATCTGTGAATCCTCAAACTTATAGTAGGTAATATGCTGTCACATTAGAAGTGTTACACCCAGAAAGAATAATTTCTTCAACTTGTTTTTTAGCAACATAGTGACTATATTTAAACCATTCTGTGGCATCAATGTGAATGTTTTATCTTTGTTTTTGCTGAATTTTGTTAAAATGTTATCTATTAGTTTTTGTGAAGAAAGCAGTTTTCAGAAACGTCCAAATTATCACCAGGTACATCACTTTGACAGGGGTAGAATTATTGCCTATCGAGATGTTGGTTTGTCCTATTGCAAAATTGGCCGCCGTGTTAATTGTACTGCAATGACGGTAATGCGTGTGTGTTGTGTGTGGATACAAGAAGATAGAGGAATACGAAGAAGGCCAACTGGTCCAGCGAGGCGTGTCAAAGAGCCTCAAGATAGGCGCTTCAGACAACTGGCCCTACGAGACCGTTTTGCTACTACGCGTTAGATCGCTGACCAATGGTTTGGAGAAGAAGGTAGACTGTTACTATGCGTATACTCTATCGCCGCATTCGAGCCTTTCGACTTTTTTCATACCGTCGACGGTTATTGCTTCCTCTGACTGCGGACCACTGTCGGCAACGTTTGAACTCTCGCAGAGAACGGCAACATTGGGAGGCAGGATGACATAACGTCATCTTCAGCGACGAATCGCGATTCTATCTAGGTACGCACGATAGTCGTAGAAGGGTTAGACGCTGTCGTGGAGGACGGCGTGATGTTGTATTTGCTGTTGAGATGCATGTACACTGACTGTTGGAGTAATGGTTTGAGGGTCTATTGCCTATGGTAGCCGACCATCCTTTCCATTTGCTCAAGGCAATATGGCTGTTGCGCGTTATGTTGATGATGTCCTACTAACCACTTTACTGTCGTATGTAGAGGGCCGTAAACTTGTCCTTTTTCAGCAAGACAACGCACGTCTCCATATTGCTCGTCGTACTACGGACTTTCTTCAAAAAGCAGACGTATTATTTTTTCTGGGTATAGCACTTCTTATGTCACTGAATATATCAAATTGCTTCGTTTGAATGGGGCTATCCAAGTCTGCTATAAAGTATAGGAGTTATGAGTCGCTCTGCTGAGATAAAAATATTTTCCAAGTGATACTAAGCATACCGTTAGCTACAATGTCTGCCAAAAACTGAACCTGTATATAAAAGAGCACGACGGCTAACTGCTTGGCTGACATATCAATGCAGAGCTGAAATTGCTGAATGTAGAAACTTTGTTGAGAGAAAAGCATAAATAAATACTAAAAGATTATCTACTTACAACGTTAACAGGCATGACAGTAACATGTACGAGAAAGGGAGTATCACTGAAAATGACCAAACTCAACCATCCAAGAGCTGAGAATATGATGGAACCCAATAAGAGAAAGATAGAGAATCCGAAGAACTTGTTGAAGCAATGCACTGCGCTCTTCATTTTTTTGTAATACACCCCTTGCAATGTCATTCTTCTAGTGAACTCAGAATCATCCAAACCATTTTGAGATACATTTATTTTTTCTGTGAAAAATTGAAAATATATTTGTATACTTCAGGACATATTCAAAAAAAATTTAAACTATGGCTAAGGCTAGAAAACATCGAAGAACAGCAGGGAAAACGATTTCTCTCCCGGTAGAATATACTATTAATGAAAAAAATTTCCGCGGTGTCAAACTGTGGTAAAAATAGCCCGAAAACGTAGTCAAAATACAAGCTGTTGTTTGATGATACAATTGGTACAATAGTCTTTAAGATTGCTAATTACAGATCTGTTATCAGATGGTCTTTAAACAAAAATAGCAGAATCAAAATGGCGGGCTACTAACTCTGGTGATATTTGTCCGACTTGAACGGAGTACTATGTCTTTGATTTTTTGATGCAGCGAATCACGAATTATATGCCAAATCCTTACATAAGATGGTGGACACAAAATGGCAAACAAAGGGACTTTTCGGAATTCCATTTGTAATAGAGAATTTTGCACCTCTGGGGTTTCCAAATTGTTGTTTTTGAATCTAATGTTAATTTGCCTCAAATGAAGTTGAACAAAACAGTATGTTGAATATCATTCTGAAAAGTGATAGTAGAATTTCGTTATATAATAAAGTATATTAAAATCTGAATTAGAGAAAAAATCGATAATAGTTTCAAACACATTCACTAATCAAGCTTTTAACATCAATACGACTTACTAAAGTTTTCAGATTAGTATAACTTTTAAGTTAGGACCGAAGTCACATTCTTAGTAATATCCGATTCATGGTCAGCATAGTTGCCTTCATTCAACACCCGATTGTACAGCAGAACGTTTTGACAAGGTAAGCTCAGCTGATTCAAGGTATTCCGGACAGTTTGGTGACAGTTGTTGAGTTAATAAATGCGGACCTGCCTAGGTGTCCGATTTATACGTGTAAACCTTCCTTGAGGCTTCCTTGGAAATAATGGATCTATCCTTGGAAACGGTGAAGCAATGACGCTTCCTTGAGGAACCTTCAGGGGACCATTTAAAATTTTATTTCACAGTAAGCTGTAACAGTTGTCACAAGTTGTCATCGATATCAGAAATATTTTTTTACTGGCCGCAACTATGTAGTATTTTGATGATAAAATTGGAACGACTGGATTTATTTGTGCTAAATTATTAATGAACAATGCAAAATAATATTGTGTTTGCTTTGTTGAATTACAGCCTCGATAGTACGAAATACTCATTAAATATTTATTTAATACTTATCTAATAATATTTTTATCTTAATAAATATTTATTTTCTTAAACAAATATTTAATAAATATTTGTAATATAATATTTTTATTAAATATTTATTCAATATCTTTTAAATATTTTAAATAAAATATTTCTTTTATAATATTAAATATTTACTTTTCAATCAATGGAAAGTATTAAATCTCCAATATTTAGAAAATATTCATTAAATATTTTCGGCTACGGCGCATGTGCGTCTGACCTCGAACGACCAATGAGATAATAGCAAGTCGGCCTGAGACGTTTGCCGGCAGCCATTTTACCTGTGACTTTCACTATGATAGCGTGCTTCCTGTGTATCTCCAAGTGGTTGATTATTTGAGTTTTTTTTTGTGGAAAAGGGAAAAGAGTAAGTTTTTCGATAATTACATAGCTTAATTTATCTGACTAGTAAACATTATTGTGCCAGCTGAGTATAAAGGTATTCATAAGAACATAAATAACTAGCCTTGAAGTGTGCTACTAAAAAAAGTCACATTTCAACAAAATCAATAAGTGTTGTCAGGATCAAGTTGTGTCCATGAACATTTTTCATCAAGATATCATAAATCACATACTAAATTTTCTTAAAAATTAACCTAATCTCGAACTATCATAGGCATAGCGTGTGGGGTCCTTTTAGGTGCATTATAGAGCTGCTTTTCAGTAACCCGGTTGAGCTACTCGGAGTAACTCACCATGCTCAGCACCAATATGTACACTGGAAATAATAATACTCCATAATTAGAAAAGTTTATTTTTTTCAGAGGAGAGGACTTGCAAGATGCAGAAGAGGCTTAGAATGTTTTTTTGATAATATTTTTCTATTAAATTAAAGCAATATATCTAGAATGAATTTTCTTTATAAACCCAATTTTATATAAGCATTCCTACAGGTTTTGCTAAAATAACCAATGAAGAATTTTCTATCTACACTGAAAATATGTATCAGATTAATGCTTGAAAATCGATACATATTTACGAAAAATATTAGATATTTCATCAAAATATAAAATTGATATTTAAAAATCTTTCCTCATATATTTTCTAAATATTTGGAAAAATTTCGCAAAAATATATGAATTATATATACTTCAAACATCTATAATGAATTTAGAAATATGTAAGAAATATATTTATTAAATATTAAAAAATCTGTCGCTACAAATATTTAACAAACATTTTTTTAAAATATTTAATAAATATTTAATGCTATCGGGGAGCGCAATCACAGAGAAGTAACAACTGAATATAGGCAATCAGTTGCACCGAATTGCTCTGCTGCTGCTATCTGTTTTTAGTTTCAATAATCCGTTTGAATTTGTCCAGTATCTCGATCAAATGCATCTTCTCGCTAAACTTTTTTTTCATAGTCGCTCCTTGTAATTATAATATCAAATTTGGGTGTACATATGTTTTTGTGAAATACTGTGATAATTGAAATTGATAGACGTAATCTACAACCAGCAGAGCATTTCGGTGAAACTGGTTGCCTATACTCAATTTTTACTCCCCTGTGATTCCGCTGTAATTAGAGGAATCAACCAAATTATTATTTTGCATTGTTTATTGATATTTAGCACGAATAAATAGATAAGGCTAACTTAGTTCTTCCCTTGAAAGCTTCTCAAGGAAGCGTCATTGTTCCACGGAGATATCTGATATCACTTGTTTCCAAGCCCAAGTCCTCAAGCCTCAAGGAAGGTCTATAAATCTGACTGAGCCTTAGGGGTGTTCCACAATACGTATCGCTACCTATTAGATAGTTATAGATATAGTTGGCGTTCATGCAGGAAGGTTTTCTGATGTGATCCCGCCATGGTATAACTAAATTTATCCTGGTTTGAGCAAAAGGAGCCAGAAGCAGTGAATTTTGTATCACAAGGTGCTTCGTATTATATGAATACTTATTAATGTATATATTTGCTTGATTTGCGCCCAGTCGGATAACTGGGTTAAGGTGGTTTTGAGGTAAGTCACCTGACGCGACACCTGAAAATGTAGTAATTGGTTAAGTGCTAAGAGACATCCTTTGTCCGGGGTCCAAGGTAGGAAATAACTAAACTGACTCCAAATTCAAGACGAGATGTAAATAATAACAGTTAGCGCGTGATCTCTCGGTAACAGGTGGGGACAACGCCTCTTATTGGTCAATTCGCCATTAAATTTCAAGTGGTCGCCTGGCGGAATAATGCGCGGGGCAGGGGCAGGGCAGACAGAGTTGCATTCAGGCCACCGACCGTCACGTCTATCACTGCGTGCTCGTGTTTTCGTATTCACCTTGCTTGGTTGTTGCTGTTGTTGTTAAGTGTATTTGAGTAATTTGTTAAGTTTCTGTTTCTTATTGTTATTCCTCGTTATTATTTGTTTTGAACCAATCCTGAACATGTCCAGTACAGATACTGCTGACGAGGCTGTAGGCTACTCCCTTAGCCCTCCTAGAAAGCGATGAAAAAAAAGACATCTTAGCGTAGACATGAAAGACGTCATATTGAATACATTCAAGATAGAGCGGAAGGAAGACGAAACATCAACTAACCCGAAAATAGCTCTGAAAGTGGCAGATAAAATTGGGGTATGCCAAGCGACAGTGTAGAATGTTTTGAATGAACATAAGAAAAAGCATGCCTTTTCCAAGCCAATGACGGGTAAAAATCGCAAAAGTATCATAAGATCGTTGGATGACGCTGACAAGCATGCGATTCGGAGGAACGTGCACGAGTTCTTCTTCAGAAACGAAATACCGACAGTTGATAAAGTACTACGGGAGGTTAACGAGGATGCTATCTTACCAAATTTCAAACGTTCGACTATTCATAAACTTTTGAAGCATCTTAAGTTCGAATGGAAGAAACGAGGCCGTAACAGCTTACTTATGGATAGAGAAGAAATTGTTCTGTGGAGGAGAGAGTACCTGACCAAAATTAAATCATTGAGGGATCAGCACAGGAAGATCTATTACCTGGACGAAACCTGGATTAACGCTGGGCACACTACTCCGAAGGTATGGGTTGACAAAACTGTGACTTCATCCAGAAGGAAATTTCTAGATGGACTGTCGACCGGATTGAAAAATCCAGTAGGTAAATAGATCGAAGTAGTTCACGGTATCAATTTTTGCTCACAATATCTCTCTATCTTCGTACCTACAAGACGTGCATGTGTACTTAGCGGATTTTATCTTTCTAGGCAAAGGAAAAAGGCTCATTATTTGCCACATTGGGGGTGTAGATGGCTTCGTGGATGACGGCTTATGGTCTTTTGAGTAAAAAAAACCACTGACTACCATGAAGAGATGAATGGGGAAGCATTCGAGAAGTGGTTTTCATGCATTTTACCACGTCTCGAAGACAATTCTGAGGTTGTTTTGGATAATGCTCCCTATCATTCTCGCAAAATAGAAAAAATCCCAACTTCAGCTTCCAGGAAATCAGACATTCAGAGCTGGCTCCGTTCCAAAAATATAACTTTCGACCCTTCCTTACTGAAATTACAACTATTAGATATTGTGAAACAACACAGACCAAGACATGATAAATATGTCATAGATGAAATGGCCAAAGCACACCACAAAACAGTACTACTCCGTTTGCCGCCTTACCACTGTGAGCTCAACCCCATTGAGCTCATATGGGCAGATGTTAAGAATTTTGTTGCTGCACACAATACAACATTTAAATTTTCTGACATGCAAGAGCTGTTCAGAATTGCTATACAGAGGGTCACACCAGAAAGATGGCAAAAATGTGTGCAGCATGTTCAGGAGAAAGTGGAGGTAGCAATGTGGGAGCTGGACAACATAATTGAGAGAGATTTTGAATCCATCATCATAAACATTAATGACGATAGCTCTTCAAGTGAGTCTGAGTAAGTTTCGCGTTTTTGTTTTGTCACAGAATACATATTATGGGAATCCTAGTTATAGTGAAATATTAACTTACAGATAAACTACAGACAATGCAAGTGCGAAGTGCACCTTCAAAATCTATTTTCAATTGATTGAACAGCCTTATATTTATTCCATGTACAAAAGTGTCATCTCTACCCCTCCTTGACTACGGATTCATTGTGCATAGTGAGCAGCTGGTTACATCTGGTACGTATTTCTCCATGCTGTCTAGTTTGAAAAATCTGTAGAAAAACTTAGCACCCCTTCAAGAATAAAAATTCGATTTTGCGACACCCTTAACTATAACTACTTCACTATATTAGATAATTTCGTTAAATACTGTCATCTTTGTTTTACAACACGTTGGTGGTAGTCCATCATTCGGAGGTAGCCCTGAATGCGGTCCTGTACGCCGTCCTTGGCTTTGGCAATCACGCATCCATTCTATCTTGGGTGTAAATACACTATACGTCTAGAGAATATTTTGGTGGGACCTATTAAATGAAGGAAGTCACTGGTAGTGCACATAACTCTTGTTCCGAAATCAAGATTTTCCGTTGCTATAAGTTTAGCGGTTTGCTGAGCGCCCAGAAGTAAACGCCTGTATCTAAAACATTCCTTTCGCTGAGAGCTTGAAGCGTGGACATTTTACACAAATTTTGTCAATGTTGCGGGGTTTTCTAAAAAAGTCGTTATAACCTGAACTTACCTAGTCTTCGGTTGATGTTCTTGTATGTTTGTTTGAAACACAGCAATAGTGCTATCATAGTCGCATATACAGACGTACTTGAAATTGTAATCACAGTGGTTACTTTGAGAGATTGTGTCACCACAGCGATACAGAGACAAACTGAAAGCAAATTGGACAATATATTGAAATACTTTGAACTTTGCGTAGGTTATCTTTTTGTTGTTTCATTTTATGACTATCAAAAAATATTTCGGATTTGCCTCCGCATCACTCATCTCCAGAATGCGACAGCACAAGCGCTATCTATTATCAGATTCGACAACATTGAAAGAACAGCAGATGATGTCTATTGGAACTGTAAAGGTAACTCAGTTCACGTCCATAGCTAAACATCAGAGTCATCACAATGATCCCATGATGCCATTGATTAGTACTTCTAACATCAGTACTGCGTTTGCTTGTACGACCAATAGAGGCCTAACCATATACATACAACGCTGTGTTATATATACTTGTTGGCAATCATCAGCACGATCTAGATTTATAGGCAGGACTTCGATCGAAAGGTATACCAAAGTACCCCAGCCCAATGTCTTCAATTATTTATCAGAATCGTCTACTACGACACATTACTAACGGTTTGCTCGTAGAGTGGTCGATGACTTAACGTTGACTGTATCTGGGATCCGGCCGTGTAAATTCCGTCTATATAGCGTAGCAGAATGAGCGGCATTTGTGCGGCGAGATATTGGACATGGTCATTGACATGCTGGCGACTGCTGTACGAACAGGGCTTAGACTCTTATAGCCATAATCGATGGCACCACGCGGTCATAGAGATGGTTATGCTGTCGACGGGAACTGAGATGTCGTTACAGTTCCAATAGGCAGCTACTGTTTACTGTCGTGCTTCGATAGTCCATAATGCCGTTACAAATGGGCGTCAAATTGTCGCGCCGTAAAAAAGGCCCGTTGAGATGTCGATGCACGTCGACAAGTCTTGACTGGCATTTTGAATCACACGGGCATCACCCATAGTGTCGCGCTGCACAACGGGCATTGGTATAAAATCAAATCAAAATTAATTTATTGGTGTGTTTCTGTCATATGATCAACAGAGATCAGGAATATGTAAGTTTATATAAGTACATATAGAGTATACGTAACAACTCAAATATATATTGAAATTTGAAATAGTTTTGTTGAAATATTCATCCACAGAGTATAGAGGATTTTTTATAAATACGTCTCTAATAAGTTTTTGCTGTATTCATCAGCAGCTTATTTGTATATATTTCTGTCCGATTTATCAAAAGTAGATTCAGTAGAAGCAACAGTTGTGCCAGCCGCAAAAAGCATGTATCTGTAACTTGCGTCCATAGGTGGAAGGTCATTTATATATCAGCAAGAGAATGATACCTAAAACTACCTTTGAGGGACACCATACCTGCTTCCCTCTTTTTGGCTATGATGCCCCAGCAACCATGAACTTTTTTAATCTTGGAGAAACGATTTCAGAAAATGGATGCTGTCCACTGATACTGTATAGTATACTGTACAAGGTTGGTCCTCTGTTAGTCGGACAGACGAAAGCAGTATTCATTTCGATATTCAGTTGTTTAGGAGATACCAAGGCAATTCACTATTTTTGTATTGATACTGAACTGTATCTTACAAACTTACTTATCATGTTGAAAAGCTGTAATCCCATAGGAATAGCCCAAGCTTTGTATCTTATTTTTGCGGATATTATATTCGAATCAAAGTTATAAGCAGAACAAACATCTTCAAGCATGCTGGAAAAACATCTGCTGTTTATTACATTTCTTGCGTAAGTGAGAAACATTGAAAGTCTGAAGATTAATTCTGTTGTGACCGCCGATACCCTGCAATTAAGAAAATTCATTAATTTCTACTTGTATCATAAAATTTACAGGGTGTATAAAAATGTTGTTTAAGCCAGAGTATCACTACAATACTGCTATATCACAAAATTATGTATACCTAATTTCAACAATCGTGCTTTTTTAGAAGGTCGCCCTACTTCCCTACTTATTTCTCGGAGGGGTCAAGTTAGTAGGCTGAACAGTTAAACATTTCAAGATGGTAGCTGGGCATTATCTTGGAACATTTCTTAAAATAGAATAGAGGTCACAGTTTGAAGCCTCTTTATAAGTACTTCATGGTCCTAATATCTAAATTTATTGCCTTTCAAAATCGCGAACTGACGGGCTGAGTGCTTTTGTACATCACTCGACAACTAATCCTCAAAGCGTTATACTATTTTCATTCAATTTGGAAAAAATGGCAGATTTTAATATTCTTTCAAATGGATTGTTATATACCTATATTTTATTACACATTCGTATAGATCTTTCCGCGAGAAAAATATTGATATAACGCGTTTTGACAACGAGTTGTTGATTATGAGCGATTCAATGTACAAAACGCTCACTTCAACTGCAGATCCGCTATTTTGAAATATAGTGATTTCTGTTCTAGAGTTATAATATTACTATTTTAGAAAATATCCCAAGATTGCGACTAGCCGCTATCTTAAGGGTTTCATTAATTCCATCTCCTCAAATTTCAACTTACTAGCTTATTCGCTCAAAACACAAGTACCTGGAGGCGGCCTTGTGAAAAGAACTGTCCTCAAAGTTGGGACCTTACAGAGCGTATAGGCCAGCAATAATTATTTTCTTTAGTAACTCATATGCCAAAGCGTTAATATGACTGAGATATGAGGTTCCGACGTTTCGTAAGTTATATATATATATATACGAGTATATATATACAGGGTTATCCAAATTAAGTGTCCACCATTAGTAACTTTGTTATTAGTGAAAATACAAAGTTGTTGAATTAGCAAACTAGTAGCATTTTTAACGCTGGTAAAAATGAGAAATAAAAAAACAATTGAGAGTCGTTATTTTGATTTTTTTCAGTAAAATAACATTTTTTTAAATGGAAACCCCTGTATATTATATTTTTTTCTGTTAAAGCATCAAATTTTAAACAAAAAAGCTTACAATAACTTTTCTCCTAGGTTACAAATTGTTGAAGTTATGGCCTCCAATCTGAAACAATTAAATTGTATCGACAAACTTATTTTCAACACCAACTTATAATCTTACAAAATACAATAACAATTTTTTTTAAAGAAGATGCTCGAAAACACCACCTTGTTCTTCAATACATTTTTTGGGCACGTTTTTCAACTGCTCGAACTGTCTTAAGTATGGTCCTACCATCTATCTGGGTTATCTTTTTCCTAACTGCAGTCTTTAAACGCGTCAAGGTTATCGTACCTTCGCTTGTAAATTTGGTTCTTTAAGTAACCCCACAAGAAGTAATCAAGTGGGTTTAGATCTGGTGATCTGGGAGGCCACTGTATTGGGCCATTTGTTCCTATCCACTGATCATTAAAAGTAGTACTTAGAAAATGATAAGTACCTCTGGAGTTGTGGGCAGGTGCGCCATCTTGCTGAAAATGCAGATGATGTCTACTTATAAGATCCAATTCGTCTAAGAAATTAGTCAGAATTTCTGACATAAATTCCACATATCTTTCACCAGTTAGGGTTCCTCATAAAAGAACGGGCCAACAATTTTTGAACCAATTATACCGCACCAAACGTTGAAACTGAAACGGACTTGTGGGCCTCTTGGATGTACTAACAAAAGATTTTCTCTTGACCAATAATGGTGGTTTTTTCTATTAACATTCCAGAATTTGAAAAATTTTATTCATCTGTCCATAAAAGGTAACGAAGTTATTTACATTTTGGCGACAGAAGCTAAGATACCAATAGCAAAAAACAAGTCTTCTCTCTGGATCCCCTGCCAAAAGCGTTTGAACTGGTCGGTACTTATACGGAATAAATTTGTATTTTTTAAAATCCTTTGAACAGTACCATAACTGAAATTAGAGTCCTTGAGAATATCTGCTATTGAATTCTCACGATAAGCTTCAAAATATCCAATAACTGCAATTTCCGTGGCCTCGCTTATTATGAATTCTTTTTTTGCCCTTGTTTTAGCAAAAACATTTTCGTTGCCCTAAATTTTCGATAAAGTCTCAGTAAATATCGTTCATACGGTTGAGTGCGAGCGGGATATAATTCACTGTAGTATTCTCTTGCTCTCAAGGAGGATTTTCTGCACACTAAATAGCATTCTAACATATCACACTTTTATTCATGGGAGAACATTTTTCTTTAAATTAATGACACAATAAAGCTTATAAACAAGTATTTACACTAATGTTTGACATTATTTGATTTTATCATTGTTTTCCAAAGCCTTCTAGTTGCGAGTATGTCCAGTTTAAACAATTTGTCGCTTATCTTAATGCTGTCAAATCGGCGAACGCCATGTTGTTTTCATAGCCGTCTTAATATTATAATACTGCAAATAATTAAAATATTTATCGTTATTTTGACTTTATTTTTGACTT